TTTCTATAGGTAGTCCTCAACTTACGATCATTCACTTAGCAACCACTCAAAGTTACAGCAGTGCTGAACCAAAGGACTTATGATAGATAATCAAAGTTATGGCCATTGCAGAGCCCATGATGTGATCAAAATTCAGGTGCTCCCACACTTATGACCACAGAGGTATTTCAACTCTCTCTGCCCACTTATCTACTTCCTATCTTTGCCCTTTTGGTCACATGCACTCCATGGCCCCTGCCACCCTAGCTTATCTTTGCCATATTTTTGCTTTCACTGCCAACCAAGCATGCCCAGCCTACATGAGCTTGTCTCTGTATGAGACCTGAGAAGAACAACCAGGGGTGGCAAACCTCAGCAGCAGGAGGATGAACAAGAAGACAGTGAAGGTCAACTAGGGTGGCAGAGCACAGGGCCTTGGAAAGCAGGGCAGTGAAAGCAAATATATCTGTGACTTTGGACCATACTACTTAGGATAGCGGAGGCTTCCTGACGCATCTGAGATTCTCGAATGGGGTGGCTGGGGCTTCGCACTCTGCTGCTATGACAGCTTCCCAGGGCAGCTGCGACTTCACACTGCATTTGTTTCAGGGGTTGCAGAGTGCCAAGAAACCCCTAAACCAGGGTTCCCCAACTCCCAGTCCATGGACCAGCACCGATCGGCCGCACACCAGAAACCAGTCAGTGCAAACAAGCAGAGCCCCATCCACGGGATGCAGGCAGCAGCTAGAACCATGCCCCTCCTGGTGTGTGGAAAAACCTCTCTTCATGGAACTGGTCCCTGGTGCCCAAAAGATTGGGGGCCACTGTCCTAAGCACTAGTGTGCACAGACAGAACTATGTAGTTTCAGGGCTACCTGCCATCAAGCAGGATGCAGGACAAAAGGGCAAAGATGCAGGGAATAGGTTTTTGGGGGTAGCTGAAGAACTGCAGTCCCTTACTTTGAAAAAAATCAAGGCACAAGGCTGGAAAGGACCAAGTCCAGAGGCTTGGGGTGATTCCCAGCTAAGAACAGTGGAATTTATTTAACAATGATGCAGGAAATGCTGGGATTTCCATTTCTAACTGTCACATGACCTCATGCTTTACAACCACATTACTTAGCACCAGAAATTCCAATCCTAATTACCAATGTAAGTTGAGAACTGCCTACAAAAGTCACATTTTACACATTCTACAAAGTTGAATAGACCTACTTGCAGCTATTACGCATCTGTGTGGCATGTAAAGAAACACCTGCATTAAACACACTGAGATCATGAAAGAAATTTTTTCAACTAATGAACTTTAACTAGATAGATATGCTGGACTTTTCTCAGCTGAAAATGTTTTTCTTTTCCTTCTTTTCCCTTTTTTTATTAATTGTGGTTACATTTATATACAGGGGTCATCTCCAAGTGCAAAACACAGGGCTGCTTTCAAATGTCAGGACAGAAGGATGAGAGAAAAGCACAGAGCCAATTACTTGCAGCCGACATGAAGACTCTGAGATCAAAGCCATCATCCGTCATCTGGGGCTAGTTTTCATCTGGCATGTCAACTGCCCATTTGTTTTAATGGATTGAACCAGGGAACCTTGATGAATATTTAAATTGACGAACAAACAATGAGGAAATATATTATAATCCTCAGGAAGCAATAAAAGAGACATGGAGGAGTAAGAAGAAACAGATCACAGTCCTCTATTGAAAACGAAGTATCCTACCCAGGTATAAATAAGTACTAGAAGAATGAACTTACTCTTTTGGACTGAGAAGTACTTCAGGCACTGTCTAGGGGGCCTTTCCTAACTTTCTCCCCATTACAAATCTGTGAGTTAAGCTAAACTTAAAAATAATGAATGGTTTAAAGGCACCCATTAAGCACTGTGGACAAGCAAGAAGATTAAACCTGAATCTTCTAAGTTCATCATCTAATTATTATTATTTGGTCATTCACTCAATTTACGTTACTTGCCACCACAGACAAGTGACTATGGGTGGCATACATTAGATCAGGGGTCCCCTACTCTCAGGCTATGGACCATTTATTGGTCCATGGCGAAACTGAAACCATCCCCCATTCAATTTCATGAAAGAAAAACTGTCTTCCACAAAACTGGTGCCTGGTGCCCAAAAGGTTGGGTAACACTGCATTAAACTCAGTGGTGAGATTCCAAAATTTTTACTACTGGTTCTGTGGGCATGGCTTGGTAGGCATGGTGTGGCTTGGTGGGTGTGGCTTTAATTGGTGGACATGGCTTTAATTGGTGGGTGTGGCAGGGGAAAGATACTGTAAAATCTCCATTCCCTCCCCACTCCAGGGGAAGATTACTGCAAAATCCCCATTTCCTCCCAATCAGCTGGGACTCAGGAGGCAGAGAATAAATGGGGGCAGGGGAAGTCAGAGGTGGTATTTACCAGTTCTCCAAACTACTCAAAATTTCTGCTACCAGTTCTCCAGAACTGGTCAGAACTTGCTGAATACCAGCTCTGATTAGACTGTTCACATGACAGAACCCTAAGCCAATGACCCTATTATACAGAGAATTCACCTTTGAGTGCAATAAGCAAATGGAAATTTCAGAATTCTTTTTCACAACAGAGGTAGCCCTTCTTTGCTTTCTTTACAAAATTCAGTCGGCCAAGGAATTATGTTCCTTGCCACTTATGTGCTAGGCAAGGGATGATTAATTATGATCTTAGACCTGAGAATTGGCTCTGTTTCCCACAGCAGTCCTTCAAAAAGCCTTTGTTGTTAACTAGTAAAGGTTGGAGGGAATTCTTCTATGTCTCGAGCACATGAGAACTGTTATTACTGAGCTATTATAGATGCTGCCTGTGATTCCTAACAGGATTGCAGGATCTTGACACCTCCTAGGCTTCCTAATTCATCTGCTTCGGACCAGCTTTGAAGGATGACCAAGCAGGCTGTGATTTAGGGCACCAAACTAGGAGTACCAGTTCCATTGTTTTTTTCAAATCATTCTAAAAATGAAAATCTTTGCATTATTGAGAAGTTGCACTATTAGTCAATGTGGCCTAAGGACAACATATAACCTTGAACTGCCATTGCATTTGTTTATATATTCATTAAATGGAAAACTAAATACTATAAAGAAGCATCCTCCAGCATAATTTTTATTATGAAGAATAACAGCCCCTCAAATATTGGAAGATTGCTATAATATTGTCCCCAGACTATAAATTCCCAGTTCCCACAAATGTTCTTCATACTGGTTGGCCTCCAGTTCCCTAATCATGTCTGTTACTCTTGTCTGCACTGTTTCTAGAGAGACTCAACACCTTTTTTTATGACGATGACTCAAAGTAGATGCAGTATTCCCAAGTCAACTTTAGTGTATTGTTGATTTAAGCACTCTATTAACTTAAATGTCACCAAAGAAATCCCCTGAAACAACGATCCAGTTTTAATAACATTGCACTTTCAGAATCTGCAATTTCCTCCCCCTGGTTTTTTATTGAAGGAGACTTACTTTTGTTCTGGGAACAAAGCAGAAGTACATGTATAAGAAGAATCAATACGGAAAGAAGAAAATTTGAGATTCTCACCCATATATTTTTTTAGCTCCTTCCAGATAGATAAATCAGTTCTATGTTCACATGTATTACAGCCATCAATTTGCAAGCTATTTTTCCTTTATTTTCCACCATGTCAGTTTTAATTGAACCACTAGAGGGCACCATTTGAAAATTTTATATAATAAAATTCCTTTGAAAATCTCAATGTTTGAAATATAGTAGAAGAGTAAGCCTTTGCCGTTGATAAATCATATTTTTCTTGCAAAATAACTTGATTTTCACCTTTAAAAATCGACAAGCAATCTTGCAGACATTGCACAAGGAAAGCTATGTTAGTCTATAGAATGAATGTCTTTAAAGAAAATTTATTAGAAAAGTTGCCTCCAAGCTTTTGATTTTGACAGGCATCTGTCAAATTCCATAGTAGAATTTTTAATTGCATTAAATAATAGCTTTATGTTAGATTCAAATTATTGTAGACAGCACATTCATTTCCCCAATACTGACTTTTGAGGAAGAAACAATGTTTTAGAACATTTTGGAAACCTGTTTCAGGCATAAGCTTAGGCAGTAAATATTTAGATCACCTTTCTCCAAGTTGGCATTTTCAGTGATGAGCCCTGACACCTCCTGAAATGAACTTCCATTAAATCTAGAGACAATGACTGCTTTTTCATAATCTAAATGGAGGAACGCCAAAGGGGTCGTGAACATAACAGAAAACAAATCTAGTGCATGCAGGCAAATGTCCCAGAAACTGAATTTATTTTAAAAGTTATATCTCATTTGTTCTTCACCAAAGAGCAGCTTGGCAATAAAATCAGATTTACAAAATGTGTTCAACCATCATAAATAATCAACATCAAAACACTCCTCCCCCTCCTAAATTCCAAAACTCAATAGAAGCAGAACATGTTAAAATATGTACAGACAAAAGGAAATGTAGAGCAGAAGGAAAAGCAACACAGTATAATGAGAAAAGTTTTTTTTCCCCAACAGAATGTCTTCTAAAGTGACAACGCTACAACAGCTAATTGACTATACTGATGAAATGTCTGCGCCAAAAAGGCCTTACATCACAGCCCTGCCATTGCAAGGAGACGCTCAGGGAGGAAGAATCTAATTTTAGTTGCTGTTTAGTTACTTGGGGATCGGCTAATTTAAAGGCTTAAAAGAGAAGCAAGTGATGGTCAGAGATGATAAGGTTTATCATCCAAAACACCCCAAAAAATTAAAGAGCGAAAAGTTGCCTAGATGAGCTTGAAAGTTAATTAATTAAAACTTGGTTCTATTAGAAACAAGCCAGCAAGCAACATTAATCAAATAACCGTGAGAAAGACTGCTTCTAATACAAGCCAGCAAAAGTTGATTTGTGATTCCTAATAAAGAACATAGATTATGATCAAAGTATAAATTATCGTAATATTTTTTTAAAAATACTGAAATAAAATTCCTCTGCAAGTATAAGAAGTTAAACTTACCTTCAGAGCGATGAGTATCCAACGGCGTCTGAGTCTCTTTGGAATAGGACACCACTTCCCGAGGCAAGAAGTCCACCTGGGTGATCTTGGAGATTCCAAGCTTGTGAAGACGGCGGCTAGAACAAAAACACATACAATATTGAGGAATGAAACAAGTTTCCCCAAACCCTATGGGTGTCAGCCTTGAGTCCCTTGATTCCTCTCATGCAAACCAGGGAAATAAGACTTGCATTCCAGGTTGCTTTGGAATGTTGCACCTAACAAAAAGTTCTATGAACAGGATACTGATCTCTGTAACAATTCAGCCTTTGAAAGAAAAGTTTTTCCAAATCTTGTATGATCTTTTTATCTAGTAGTTTGAATAAAACACCATCATGAAGTATTATAAGAGGAATTAGAATACTGTGACATTCATACATTGCTAAACTGTAATTCCCAGGATACCACGACACCAGACTACTGGTGAGGAGCACTGGGAGTAACATATAGAGTTATCACAGGTTGACTACCACTGCGCTAAAAGATCAAATTATAATGTACAATATGAATTCTTCATTACTCCTAGATTTATTTCTGTATAATGCAAATAAACCAGTACTTACCCTGTTTTCCCGAAAATAAGTGCTCCCTGGATAATAAGCCCAACCAGGCTTTTGAGCGCATGCGCTAAAATAAACTCTCTCCCTAAAATAAGCCCTCCCCGAAAATATTGCAATACAGCAGCAGCTATGGTGAACATACTCGCCACCTCCTGTTACCTCAAAAATAATAAGACCTCCCCTAAAATAAGGTCAAATGCTTATTTCGGGGGTCAAAAGAAAATAAGACCCTGTCTCATTTTCGGGGAAACACAGTATATTTTTAAGAGTATGTTAAAATCACTATAGAGTTCTCCAAGTCAGAGTACCTTGTCATATCATTCTTATAGGTTAATATTACGTTCAGAAATAAACTCTTGCATATTAAATGGAGTTACTTCTAAATTTACATTTCATTTATCCTATCCTTACTCCAGAAATAATACATATTTATCTATCTTAGAGCAGGCAAACATGTCTTAAAATGGCAGGGATAAGCATAAGCAATTAGGGGATGAGGCAAATGATGAAATAAGAATTAAAACATCAAGTTACATCATGACTTATGCAACTGCACAATATGTTCTGTCACTACAATTTGTAACAGATGACTATGGCTGGGAGGGTGGGAGTCACAAAATATCTACAGAATCCAAACTGCCAGCGTTATACCAAATTGTGCCATTTGCCTATCATTAACCACTTACATTTTTTGTTTTGCTACACAAAATATAAATATTCCCAGGAAAAAAAAATCTGAATTGCGGCTATACATTTTATTTTGTTTTCCCTGCAAATACTTATGTGGCTGAAATAGTATCCAAAAATTTTATTGTGGATAATGCTAAGATCTGATGACTTGCTCTACAACATGTTAACTTTTAAGTTAAAAACAATCGGGGCAGAAATATTAGATTAATATTTTACATTAAAGAACTAAATAAGATTAACTACTTTCATTATTTATTAGCTGTGACTTTCAAAATTATCACACAAATAAGGTTGTATAAGAAGAAAAGAGAAAGACATTGATGGACTATATTAAAAGAATGTTGCTAGCAATGAACACAAAAACATAGTAGGGAAAAATATTTGGCATGCTGGTTACGTTAGATAAATACGTGGTGCTAGACTATATCCACATGCATGTTATAGTTTCCACAAGCATGCAGCTTCAACATTCCATCTCCTGTGAAACAAAAAGAACTCTACAACTCCCAGAGTTCCGTGAAGACAGAAACACAACTCCACATCTGAATAAATTTGGGGTGGCTCAGCAGTGACCCATTCAGAGAGTCTTATTAAAATTTTCTTGGCATAATACGGCCCCTCCCAAATTTTCAGAACTGAACAAACGATGTGGAAAGTTGAGTAGAATTAAATAAAATTATTAATAACAGCAACCACAACAACCAGGATAGAGAAGAGAATAATACAAAAAAATAAGCCTACTTAAGAAGTCAGTTCATGCAATGAAGTCATATTATAACACAAAACAACAAGAGTGGACATATACCCAAGTTCAGAGTCAGACTGAAGCTGGAGCACTGAAGGGTCTGTGTCCCACTGCAGGGTCCTAGCCAGGTTTAATCAGCCGCACAGGACAAAGGAATGGGTGGGCGGAAAAGAACACACAGAATTAACTGAAAGGATGAAGGAAAAGAAGTCACTTCATCACTTGCCATAATATGTTGTTCAGGCACAGAACACAGCTCCAAAACTACTATAGAAAAACACATGGAGGATCACAGTGTTCTTTATCAGACAAGAACAGGTATATGTCAAACTAACAAACGTTATACTAGCAAGTATTAAAGGCTTCCAATATATATTTGCCAAGCTATACTTAACCACACATAATGAACATGATAGAATGGACTTCAGGTATTTAATTACTAAGCACTATTCATGAACAACCCCAACACAAAATAAACCTGGTCAGATCCCCCCACTGTGTTTTTACAACAGCATACAAATCAAAAGGGAAATCTTTGCAGTTCAAATGCCTAGTACAGGTCTCCTGCATGAGCAGGGGAGGTTGGACTAGATGACCTCCAAGGTACCCTTCTAACTCTGTTACTGTTTACAAGTGAGCACTTCAAATTCATTGGAGGGGGCGATGCAGTTTGGTTATTCTGGAAAGAGCATTCTGCAAGCAGAAACCAGTTGCTGTGTGCTGTGTACCACAGACACAAAAAGTGGGCCAAAGAAACCTCAGAATGCAACCTTTGGTGCTGGTATGTACGGGACATTTTGCACATTCTGATTAAGGCATAATCAGCATGATTATGTTGATATGTCAGCAATGAGTTAAGAACTCTGAACAGATATACTAGAAGGAGCAGGCAAGTGGAATTCAGGCACTTGGTAGCTTTCCCACACTTACCACCACAGGGGCATTTCAACTCTTCCACCTGCTTATCTCCCATTTCATTTATGGCCTTTGGCCCCTTGCCACCCCAGCTGAACTTTGCCATTTTCTAGCTGCCGCTTGCTGATAAGATGGGCCTGCTCTAGTTGCTGGGATAGGCTAGTTTAGGAATCCAAGGATGGCTTTGTACTATGGAAAAGGCGAAGGGGGCGGGCGGGGGGGGGGGGGGCAAAACAGCTCAAAGTCAGCCCAAGACTGCCTGTGAGTTTTGCAAATGCGTGTTTTGACATACTGTGCCTCCGGAGCTACTTTCAACTTTTGTTGTCCAGGGTTTTGGTTTTTTTGCAGTGCAAAGTCAGCCTTAGCAGGGCCAAGCAGTCAGGCCAGACATGCCTCACTAGCAACAAGAGCAGGAAGATGGCAAAGATGGTACGGGGTAGCAGAGAGCAAGGTGACAGGGATCTTGGAGTGCAGAGTAGTGAGGGGTAGATAGGCAGATGGGGCAATTGGAGACAGTCCCTTATCTGACAGAGGCTCTGGGCTGGAGGGACCAAGCCTGAAACTGCTTGAATAGGGGTGAGACTTTGGCTAATAACAAGTAAAATTTACCTAACGACAGCACTGTTGGGATTGCGGTCAGTAAGCGATGTGGTCATATCACATCTCATTTTATCGCTTAATGAACGAAATTATGGTTCCAGTTATGGTTGTAAGTCAAGGACTACCTTTGCCTTGTTTATACCTCTGAACAAAATGTGGGCAATAATTCTGTGAATAGCCCAGTCTGGAAATTTGTGATGATTATGGATGAAGGGCCAAATACAATTTGAATAAGGTTGATGTGATAAATGACATGTTGAGTTTGGCTCTTAATGGGATGTTTTGTATCTTATGTAAGAAAAGACCGGAGGTAAATTCAAAACTCTTTTCAACACTTCTGGAAGGGTCTGAAACAAAGATTGTTATGAGAGCAAATTACTCATTTTTTTTTCTTTTTTAGAATCTAGAAATCCAATAGTTATATATCATTTTGAATTCTATTTCATCAAGTATTTGTCTAATTTGATGAAAGCTCCCCATTATAAGTGTTTCTTGATCTCTATAACTGTAGGAACTTCAATTCCCAGAATTCCTGCAGCCAGCATTATAGCAATGAAGATTCAAAGGGTAATTATGTAAATTGGGGAATTCTTGATAATTCTGACTGTTTCAGTAGCCTTTTACTCTGCCTTAAGATAGCACATTGAATTGGCATTAGGACTTTATGGCGGAAAACTGAAACATTTTGCAGCTAAAAGATACACCCAGATATTATGGGATGGATTTTGGTTATGCTAAAAAAAAAAATCCATTATTTTGATCAAATTGAAGTACATTGCTTCAATTACCAAAGTGAGTTTAAGAGTCTTATATTTTAGTATTATAATTCCATACAATAATGAAAATAGAGAACAAATGTGATATATAGCTACACACTGGGGATTGTAATCAATACAAGATAATCAGGAATAATCCATCAAGGAATAATCTATCATTGCAATCTAATCCAAAGTTTCAATGAGGATGCAGTTCCACAGGTACTGCTGTAAAAAAAAATATCTTTTACAACTCACAAGATGTGAATGCTTTACAAGCAGCACAAAAACCTTGTGTGGTCAAGACAAAAGATAAAAATTATTTAAATGTTAATAAAATTACTATAATTATTTTCCATGTATTTAAAAGAATGGTCTTTTTTCTTACTACTATAATCATTGGAAGACTTCAAGGTACACACCCACACACAGTTATTAAATAATAATTGAAGCAGCTCCGCTTTTCAGCATTTTACATACCTGGTGGATTATCCCTACATATATCAGCATGTCCAGATTCAAAGGGATTTGTTAGAAACCCTTCTTTAGCTCCTTTCATAAATGTGAAGGAAAATTCTTTTCAACAGTAACAAATCCTTCTGGGGAATTTTTTAGTCAACAGTCACTTAAATGATATTTTCCTTGCCATATTTTTTTCAAGCCTTTTAAAAACATTTCATTCTGAGCAAATCTCATGCTTACATTTTTGTTAAGAGTTTTGTTGTTCAAAAATCTCCCTTGGAGGTACAAATATAATCTGAAGTTGAACGTTGTTAATAAATATACATCTCTGGGAGTAGACTTAGTATTGATGCCCATAATCATGTACTGAAACATGTCTTACTGATTCCCGTTTTCAAAACTCAAATCCATTTTTCAGTACAGTTTGCTATTCTTCTCTTCAGATAATTGTGCCTTTTGAGCATAATATCTGAGCATATTATGAATTCAGATATTATGCCTTTTGAGCAATCAAATGTTTCAGGCTCGTTCTGATTTCTCTACCCCAAGACAAACAAACTTTGTGCAACTTAGGATAACACTTTTTGTCTATCACAGGGTCACAGTAGCCATGGATATATCTGAGGAGCTGATGAAAGTTCTCTTCCTGATTTTTTTTTAAAATTTCTAAATACTATCAGTGATTAATTCACATCTTAGCTACTGTTTTTTTGGGGGGGAGAGATCATGAAAAATTGTGAGAGATGCAGTGGTCCAGTTATTGTGGAGAAAGGAGACTTGGAAATCTCTTCAGATTACCCCTGCTCCACTAGGTAATTGAGACTGTACATCTTTTATTACAAGTTGCTTTAGAAAACTGCAGATTTATTTTTCACGAACTCAGTTATGTCTTTTATTTTGATCATTTAACTTTTCTCACACAAATGATATCGCTAAATGCCCAGGCTTTCCTATGAAAAAAATAGAGAAATAAATTTACATACATAAAGTTTACATACATAAAGTTTACATAAAACTTGTTTGAGTTTTATTAGAATATGCAGTTTTTCTTGGATTTTGCTCTTGAGTTTTCCTTTGTAAGGCAAAGTTATAAACATAAACTTTTTTTAATCCTTATGAATCTCTTTCAGATTTGCATCTTTTTCAGGTTTGTCCTTTATCTTTCTTAAGAAAATATGGCCACAGAAATTTCAGATCACCTTAAATGTGGCTCAATAGGCACAAACATTGCCTACTTTGTTCGGTGGTTTCTTACACAGTAGTCCTAAATATTTGAATATTTTCTTTAAGTTGTTTTAAATTTTGAGGACAGATGTCAATAAAAAGCACAAAAAATATTCTGAAACATAACAGATTTTTAAAAATAATAATAATAACATAGAAACATTTTTAACAAAAAAAATCATCCTGATTCCAATTATTTATTGTTATATGACTTATTTTTTAAAGTAACTATCCTAAATATATTGTCCGTCAATATTACTGTATAACATCACTAAAAACCCAATGAAAGTAGTTCTCAGTGAAATAAATAGGTGCTGCAGGGGAGACATGTTTATTTCAATAAAACTTGCATTAAATAAATTCCAAAAACCTTGGATTGTGGGTGCTTTAAGAATCAGAAACAGAACTGCAGCATATCAGGACTATAAATCTTCATGAACTTTCACTGACTACAGAGGGGTTTCGTTAATGACCTCAGCAGCATTAGAGTTCTGAATCTGCACCACAACTGAAAGTTGTGAATCTCATGGGGCCACTTATACCAGAACATCCCGATTACTTAGGAGAAAGAGAAAAATACACATAGCTTGCTTGTGGCACTCATTACTCTTTTGTGCCATCCTCTTTAAATGTGACAAGTTTCCCAAGTGACAAACAATATTCCACTAGGGAGGATACCATTACAGTGTCATTAGAGAAAGAGCTTGAGAACACAATCCTCAGCAGGAAAAAAAACAACTGAGGTTACTAAATGAACAGGATCATCTTGAAGGCTTGCTAGGGGCTTAAATCTCAGATTTTTCTCTTGGAAGTACTGGTTTCCAGCATTTAACCTATTTCTGAGTGCCTGAGGTTAATTACTATCTTCATGAATATTCCGTCTTCCCATCTGATAACAGTCAAAGTCGGTTGCACAAGACATCAGCACAACACAACCAAAATGAACAATAAAATCAGAACTTCAGACTGGCTCAGACAAGAAAACCAGATAGGAAGTGACAAGAAAATGTTGCCAAAAATGGAATGTGAAATGAACTGAAAGAAGCAAAGAAGGATGCCAAATCTGTCTACGAAGAGCATCAACGATGGACTACTTTGTCAAGAGAAAGTACTGTTTCCTGTCATTGCCAGACTTTAATTATCTCAGGAAGTGAGAGAGGTCAT